ACCAATTTTCCTTGGTTGACAATCTGAGCAAGCTGAAAGAGAATGAAGCCGATCAGGAGATGAACCAATTTCATTAAGTAACACCATAAAGCTGGAAATAGATATAATAAGAACAACTATGCCTCAATCCCAAACTCAAGCAGGGGTCGGCCATATGAATCCTCACTAACCATATAGCTCCATTTTAGATTATCTCAGGCTAATACACAAAAATCAAAACATAAATAAAAACTTCAAGAATATGTCTATATTTTGTACTGGTATATGAATCTCAATCATGACTAAAAGACTCCCCAAAAGTATAGGAATCGTCTCGACCTCTTGACAACAATATAGCATACAAGACATATATGCTATAAACATATCTCTCTTTATAAGAAAAAAATCCTTGAGCATAGTTGATCTTATGCATCAAATACTAATTAAATTCAGGGGTTGGATTGGTTTTGAAATAATAATAACCAAAACTAACTACCCCTATGTTGGTTTACTAATCTATAAACCAAATCAAATTAAACATATTCAACTTTTACATATTTGGGTTCTGTGTCCTTTTTCAAGTCACTGTCCCTCTTTCTCGTACTCCAAAAAGCTGCTAGGATAAAAAGCCCACAGCTTTATGGCGATATTCTACTCTTTTCGTCTTGGACAACATAGGAGTAAGTAAGACTCCAGATAAGACCTCCTTCCCATTATTAGGCTACCACCAAACCTCTAAATTGTTGATTAAGAGCTCACAAACTTCTTCCCAGACATCACCTGAATGGATCAAATTTTCTTGGTCTCTATTCTCCCAAATTAGATTCAATCTAGCATACCATACCCCTCCCTATCATAATTCATAAGGAATTCCTTTCCCAATATTTGGTTCTTCATCTCTACCTTGGACACTCAATGACTTAAAAACTTCCTCCATTCTCCTTAGGGGCCAAGGCATATAGATCTAACCTTACCATCACCAGATAAGACTTGTGTAACTGTCATATCATTAATGAATCAGAAAGTTCACATTTTTACAACCTGAAAGCTGGTTTTGAGTTCATCTAAACACTATGGTCGAATTCAGCAAACAAGCAATTGATATTAGCACCCACTATCTCCAACTCTCAACATATCCATACAAAAAAAATGAACATATATACATATATATCCACCGTCTTTAAATCCCACCTTCGGTTCTACAGGCGACACTTGAAGAAATCATCATCATCAACAACAACATCATACCCAGCGTAATCCCACAAGTGGAGTTTGGGGAGGTTAGGACGTACCCAGACCTTATCGCTACCTTTGTGTATTGACTCCTAAAGAAATCAACCACAACAACAGTGTAATCCAACAATCCACACACACCTTATCACTACTTTTGTGGGGTAGAGAGACTGTTTCCGATTGACTCACTACGAAATCAATCTCTAAAACTACCAATATATAGAAAGCTTTAAACCCAAAATGGAAAAACTAAGTATTTGACTTAACAGTTAAACCCAAATTTATTGGAAAAAGGGAACAAACAGCTCAACTTACTTGTTTTGACAAAGGACCTGAAGATTTCAACTCATCACGAACAAGATCTCCGGTAGCAATATGAGGAACGCCTAAAAGGGTTGAAAGACGGCTAGCATATGTACCTTTTCCGACACCAGGACAACCCAAAAAGACCCATTGGACAGTTTTAGCCTTGGGATCAACACTTGTAGAATGGGGATTATGAGGGTAAGATTGGGATTTCACTGTCTCAGATGCAGCTGCAGTAGATAAAGATCTACTGATAAGGGAAATTGAATTGGATGAGGAAGATGATGAAGATCTGAACAGGCGGATCATGGCCGCCATTGCCGGAAAATTCTCCCGGAGTTATTTTTCTTGGGAAGTATGAAGAGTAAAGTGAGAAAGGGGAGAAAAAGGGAGGCGATTTCCTAGTAAATAGGAAAGAATGTTGAAAATTTCTAGGTCTTAATGATAACGGGTCACATGAATCGACCCGACTTTATCGGGTTGAAAGTTGATATTGTGTCGGAGAGGACGATGTCTACACAGTCTTACTCGTATTTAAATGAAGAGAGGTTTTCGATTTAAGTAAATTATCATATCAAAATTTAGTATGAAAAGGACATATTTTATTTTATTTTTACCGTGGTTTCCGGGCGTCGCTTTGCGAACCCGACTAGCTGTACCCACCGGGTCCCGCTGTTTCAAGGCGGGTCCACCACGGTTAGTTCCACGGGGCCCTGGAGACGCGGCCGGTTTGTAATGCCTCCAGTGGCCCTGCTGGGGCTCGAACCGGCGACCTAAAGGACTTTGTCTCAGGCCTTTACCAGCTGAGCTACCCCTCAGGGTTATGAAAAGGACATATAATAATAAGAAGTCGTGTTAAAAAGGGGAGGAGAAAGTAATTACACTAACAATTACAAATAATATGGTAATTGAAGCAATGGTTCTAGCGAGACAACATATAATAGTCAAATTGAAGACTAAAATAGTATGAGAGTAATAATAATAAAAATAATAGTAATTAAATAATGCTCGACTATTTACTAAATGTTTATCTAAATAAGAGAAATTAAATAATACTCGATTATTTACTAAATGTTTATCCTAATCTTCGACCTCCATATCTTTCAATCTTATGATTATGTTCTCGATAAGTTGTAGGTTTGTTTTGTCTTGGGTAAATCTCTCTTCCCTGTTTTTTCGACCTATCTCAAGTTCTTTTCACACACATAATAACCAACTCTAATACCGCTTTACTGGGTATATGTATATCTCCATTTCACCTATCCAAATCATCTCAATTTCACCTCTTTTATTTTGTCCACCACAAATATCACTCTCACCTTATTTCAAAAATCATTTCTAATCTTATACTCCCTCTGTCCCTAATTACTTGTCCACTTTTTCATTTATAGTTGTCCCTAATTACTTGTCCATTTTGACAAATCAAGAAATGACAATTTTTTTTACCTATTATACCCTCAATTAAATGACTAATTACTTTGAATAATGCAAAACTTTTCATCCACTTCATAATTAATAGGGGTAAAATGGTAAACTCACTATGTCATTAATTGATTTCTTAATAGGTGTGTCAATTCAAAAGTGGACAAGTAATTAGGGACGGAGGTAGTATATCCTAATATGTCCATACATCAATTTCAATTACTTTCATCTTTCGGACGTATAACTCTCAATTGACCATTAATTTTTTTTGTCAAAGAAAAAAAAACTCCTACTTTTCAAATTATTTATCGTATTTATTTTTTATATAAAAGGATTTTTGACTATCGTGTGTATCTTAATATATGATCTTTCTTCGTTAAAAAATATTCACTTAGTGAGATGTTTGCCATCAAGAAAATTACTATCGAGCATAAAATAAAAAAATGTTAATTTTATTTTGAATATTTAAAATAATTTTTTTTTTAAATCGAGATAAATAATTTAAGATGAAAGAAATACCTATTAAGATTATAAATTTTAATACTTTTTTAAACTTTCGTATTTCTAGATTAAAAAAAAAAAAAAGATGAAAAATAATATATTGTTTTTTTGTAATATTAACGGAGGTAGGGGTGGGGGGTGTCAATTTCTTTTGGATCAACCCGTATTCATTGGGTCAGGAATTGGAAGACCAGACCAAATTAAATAGGGACTCAATTACCTAATTATAATTTCTCGATTTTCGAATATGCCATTGTGCAAGAATATTCTATCTTCTCAACTTTTCTTTACACGTTTTTAAAATAAAAGTTTAGATAGTTTGGTTGCACTTTATAGATATTTTACACCATTTTTGTTATCGGTAAGAAAGATAGTTTGAAACACTAATGCATAGTTTATAAAAGAAAAAAGTTGAACTAAAAAAATTGTGGTAAGTTAATAAAATTACGTTTTTAAATTTGAGATTAAAGAATAAAATTACTTTTAATAGAAAATTAGGTACATTGCAATCTCTTTTTTCAAGATTTTTTTTTTGTTTTTTTAGTTCTAACAAGTTTGTAAATTCAAATGTATTATTGTGATACATTATTTAAATTTTAAGGTTTTTTTTTTAAAATACTAGAATTACATTTTATTATTCATCTACTTATAAAATAATATTAACATGTGACCAAGGTTTAATCTTAAGGATCAAATAAATTATTATAAGAATTTATAAATTTTAAAAATTAAATTGCTTTATATATTTTTATATATATATTTGAATATAATATCTTTATTCGAAATTTAAGACAAATAGAAGAAATTAACTTATCCCCTTTCTCCAGCCCAACCTCCTCATCTTTCATCACCCCACCTTATAATATTTGTTTAGATTTTTATTTATTTTTAAATAATATTTTTTATTTACTTATAAATTTTTAAGAATAAGTAAAAAATTAATTATTAATATTATTTTTTCAATTTATATGTCTTATTTTTTTTAGTTGATCTCAAAAAATGATACATTTCTATGTTAAGTAACAAATTAACTTTAAACTTTAAAATGTTCATTTTTGTTGCACTTGACTCGAGAGTCTTTTGAAAATAGTCTTTCAAACTCCACGTGTTAGTGATAAGATCTGTGTACATTCTACTTTTTTCGAACCTCACTTGTGGAATTTTATTGAGTATGTTGTGGTTGCTGAAATAATTATAATCACACAAATATGTATTACTTATTTAGACCATAAGTTTCAAAAAAAATTTCCTTCTTTTTTAAACTTTATGTCAAATTAAACTACCTCACATAAATTATGACAAATGAAATACGATTTCTTTCATACCAAAAATTAGGCATTCAATTGAAAAAGTAGGCTTTAACCAAAATCTACACCCTTCAACTTTGAATGTGTACAGATAAAATTAAACAAGTAGAGATACATCCTATATTACGTAATACAGATAGAATGTCACGGAGAATACAAATTGTCACGTATTATTCCTAAAATATTTTTAAGAAGGGCGTATTTAACCACGTGTAAGCTTAGTTTCCACAATTCCAAAAGTTCGGACATTCAAGAATCCTCTGTTTTACCCTCTTTACGCCAATGGCTATTTCTCTCAATTCTGGCCTTACTGTTGCAGTTAGCAGAAGTATTCGTCAAACCCCACTTTACAATGTTAATTTGACAACAAACCCATTTAGTTTTAACTGCAATTTCAGCTTAACCCCCAATTTTTCAGCCATTTCTGCCTCCCACAGGTCCTCCTCTGTTATCTACAGCTCCACAGGTTAGCTTATCTTCTTTGTCTTGTTATAAGTACTCCAATTTTGAGTATGCACCTCAATTCGTATTCATTTTGTCAGTTGGATACTCAAATTTATGTGTTACGTCAACGTTGGGTGTCTATGAGATATAGTGGGGACGAGTTGGAGTGTTTAGTTGCTAGTTAACACTAAGTTGAGGTGTTGTAGATGTACACGTTCAAAGTTGGAGTGGTTACGTTCTAGGTGAGGCCAAGTGTAAGTGTTTGTTTATATATTATGTCTATTGATATTATGTGAATTATAGAGGTGATGTTGGGTGTCCACTAGACATAGAGCAAGTCACGTTAGTGTAGGGTGTCCATGAGACATTGTGGGGGCGAATTGGAGTGTTTAGTTGATCGTTGAGACTATAAGTTGAGGTATTTAGACGTGCACTTCTAAAGCTGGAGTAGTTACTTGTGAAGTCAAGAGTTTGAGTGTGTGTTTATAAATTATGACTAATGTTATTATGTGAAATAGAGAAATAGTACAACTTTATTTATTGTAGTTATTCCACCCCTCTCTAGACGTGGAGTGGATATTTTTAGTTTATGCGTTACGAATCACAATTCATTTCGTATATTGGGTTCTGGATAGATTATTTATACATATTAAACAAATTTTTCGAAACAAATATTGGGTTTGAGTCTAAGCTGCTAGTTACGCTGAACACATAACTAGAGGCGGACCCAAAATTTGTAGGCGACGGGGATACCACTATCTTTAGTACGCCAATTGAAGTAAAGAATCAATGAAACACCATAATAAATACGAATTATTTTAGCCAAGACTCGAACTCAGGTGATTCACGCTCAAGGGCCAAAGCGGCACAATAACCAGATGCCCCAATCCAACAGATATGTTTGAGGGGTCCTTTTATAAAATATGATAGTTCTTCAAGGTATATTATAGACATATATACAGAGTTTGTCTCTCAAAGCTTGGGTAGATGAGAAAAAATCACCTAGTGTTTTTGCCTCCGTTGGGAATTGAACATCAGACCTCATGGTTCTCAATACACTTCATTGACTACTAATGATAATTAAGATGTTTAGTTTTGTTAATAAATATTAGAGTACTGGTTGAAATAGGAACTGAGACTCCAGTGGTGAGTGAGGACACCATCAATGTGTTGGACGATGTTCAAGTATTTGATCTGAATGGACAAGGAGTACCTATTTCGGATCTGTGGAAAGATAGGAAAGCAGTTGTCGCCTTTGCTCGTCATTTTGGGTAATCTTTCTATGGCCTTATGCTCTATTTCTTCAAAACCTGGTAATCAAAAAGCATGTTATTGGTGAAGTATGTTCTACTTATGCTAGTTCCCGATTGCAGATGTGTCCTTTGTCGCATAAGAGCTGATTATCTTGCAGCTGAGAAGGTAATGCTTCTTCTTGACTACATTTTCGAAAGTCATCATTTTTTTTCTTCCAAGTGTTCTGCTGAAACTATCCCAAGGTTGACTAATGTATTTCCAAGGTCTAAATGACTAGTCTTTTAGTATCCTTGTTTGATGTTGGCGAGTTAAGTCGTGGGAATAGCATAAGTTGCAGTGTCTATCATAATGTATAGATTTTCCATCGGAAACATTCTCTCTACCTCCCAAGGTAGAGGTAAGGTCTTCATACACACTACCCTCTCCATACCCCACTTGTGAGATTACACTGAGTATGTTGTCATTTTAATTTAGATTATGTTATCTTCAATTCGTTAAACAAGTTGTTCTAACCACAAAGTGACAGTGCACATATCCTTAAGTTCCACCATTACTACAGTTTACATCCTTATACCATCTTCTGTTCACAGGATAAGATGGATGCAGCTGGAGTTGCACTTGTTTTGATTGGACCTGGTAGTGTTGATCAGGTATATAGCAGCGATGCTTCTTGCACCGAGTTGCTTATCCATGGATTAACTCTCTTTATTCTTTCCCCTTCGAGAAATTTTTTAAATGGTTACTTATCAACAATAACAAAAAAATCTTAAACGGTTATGACACCTTCCATTTTTCTTGTCCCAAGTTACATCATCCCATTTTTAGAAGTTGCTTCTTAACTCTCACAATCATTTTGGGTATGAAGAATAAACGCATAATAGATAAAGAAACGATCAAACTTGGCCTCAGCTGACAAGTACAAGCACTCAAACTTTGAGAGTGGACATCTAGACACATCAACTTTGTCATAACTGACAACTAAAACTCCAACTTGTCCCCATTGTGTCTCATGGACACCCGACTATGATGTGACACATACATTTTGGAGGTGTCTAGATGATCATTTTTTGAAGTTGGAGTGTTCAACTAGAATAGCGGAGACGAGTTATGGTGTCTAGATGTGCATACTCAAAATTGGAATGTTTAGTTACCAGTTACGACAAAGTTTGAGTGTCTGTTTATGTATTACGCCAATAATAGAAGTTTTCTCTATTACAAGGATCTTCTTCTTTTTTTAAGCCCATTTCGACTTGTGCTGCAGTTGTTTGCTTCCTTTCTGTTTCTTGCTCCTTTATGATTTCAAGAGCTCATTAAAGCTGGATTTAGTTGTGACTCGTGTCCCCTTCTTTTTCTTTTCTCCAGGCCAGAAAATTCTATGAGCAAACAAAGTTTAAAGGAGGTAAGTTTCGAATAAAAGACCTTGTGTCCACAGTGGCTCAGTGTCTGTTACTGGAAGTCCGTTATATCCCATGAACTCAGTTCTAGCAATGTCCAATGATATATATGCTCCACACGACCAGTGACCTCGCTCGAATGCTATTGCACTATAAGTTACAGTTTCCCCTAAAAGAAATTTTTCTGCATTAGTAGAATTAACAATGTGAAGCAGTGAGGGATATAAGATATATTCTATCTGATGCGTATAATTCTAAAGCTACGGGAAGGGTCAAAACAGGTAAAAATTCACAGAATGGCTAAGAGGGTTATTACATCATTCACTACTAAAACACACGTTCATCCTCGAACGTAAAGAGAAAGAAAGTACCAGGGCCTGATCACGTGATGTTATGTTCCCCTTCTAAACAAACTAGAAAGATCCAGAAGACAAAAACCTATCACGACCCAAAAAAATTCGAGGATTAATTTGTAAGACAGCTGCTAGAAGTGTTGCTAGTTTGTTACATTGGCATTCTTATTAAGCTAAAGTATATTCTGGTTTTGTTTCAAAGCTTTCTTTATCTGCGGTTTTTTGAAATGTGACACCTTGACAGAGGTTCATTATTGTTATTTCAGAGGTTTATGCTGATCCAAGCTATAGGTCTTATGAGGCTCTGAGATTTGTGTCAGGCATTACAACTACATTCACTCCCGGGGTATGCAAATAAGATCGATGCTCATAAAGTGTAGCATTTCCAGCTTCTCAATGTATTCTAATAGTGGTCTTGCTCATCTTTTCTTATTTACATCAAATATAGGCAGGTTTGAAAATAATACAGGCATACATGGAAGGCTATAGACAGGATTGGGAGCTTTCTTTTGAAAAGGACACCAGGACACGAGGTGGCTGGTAGGTCAATTTCCATAGATACTATTATAATCTTCTGATCTGTTTGCCAAGGGTCTTTCGGAAACGGCCTCTCTACCTCCACGAGGTAGGGGTAAGGTCACACCCTCTCGTCCCCAGACCCCACCTAGTGGGATTACACTAGGGTATGTTGTTGAATCTGTTTGCTAATAGGGCGAGTACATATCTTGTAATTGGACGACATTTACTATTTCTAGAAGTTGCACAATTTTGATGGTGGACTCCCAATTCCCAAACACCGAATCAAGTTTGGTATACTAAGAAAACAAGGAACAATCATCTTATCCAAGTAATTCCGTTGTTGTAAAATCCGCCTGAAGTGAATGGGGTAAAGAACTTTATCATTTCCGTTTATCTATAGGTAAACCATAAGCCATAGTTTCACTATCATTTTAGCTTATAGTTGGTATATAACATTCTTGGTTGTTAGATTCTTTTGAATTTTGCGCAAGACGACTTAAATGCGGAAACATGTCTTTTTGTCATATTATTAGTGACTGTTTACTGGAATAATGTGAGACTAATAAGCTTGTAAATTGTCAGGCGACAAGGAGGAATTATTGTTGCAGGTCCTGGTAAAAATAACATCACAAACATACACAAGGTTAAATTTCCGTCCCTTCGTCTTCTCAGTCTTGATACAGAATTTATATGCACCAATGTAGCTCAGAATTTTCTTTAAAGGCTCTGTTAAATAACTCGTCATTGTCTAAGAATAGCTCGAAGCTTCATGCTCTCCGACTAGTTAGTTTTCGACTTTACTTCTCAATACCATTTAGATTTCACTAAATCGGGGTACTATCCGGTTGATTTTGGGAAAATTACTTGACAGAGCAAACATATGCCTATTTACCCGCAATACTGAGAGATTATGAGAGTTTGAGTTTTATCAGTTTCGCTTTGTATCTGTTCGCTTCGAGCTATATCGACTCGCTCTGATAACCGAGTGAACAAATACAACAGATGGAGTGAATTGATACACTGATACAAAGCGAGTTTTTTTAAAGTTAAGTGTGGCAAATTTCCACAAATATAAATAGAACCACTTATATCCCTCAATCTTACAAACCTCATTCAATCTAAAACCCACTAAACATGTTTCTTTCTCTCTTTAATTTCTTCATTTTAGGGTTTCTTACCCATTCCTTTAAACTTCATCTCAAATTTAGAAAATTCACTCCAATCTATGGCCCTTCCTCTTACCCAATCCTCAGATGTCTTATTTCCTTCTATAAAAATCGACATCGACTATTGGACTGGTACACTCAACTTTTATCTGAATCCCCAACACAAACCATTCTAGTTCAGCGATTCGGCGCTCCTCAGACCATAATCACAGCTAATCCGGATAACGTTGAGTACATTCTCAAAACGAATTTTATAAATTATCCAAAGGGGAAGCCGCTTACGGATATTCTAGGCGATTTTCTAGGGCGTGGGATATTCAACGTGGACGGGGAGCTGTGGAGCGCCCAGCGTAAATTGGCTGGCCATGAATTCAACACAAATTCATTGAGGGAGTTTGTCGTCAAAACTCTACAAGAAGTAGTCGAAACCAGGCTTGTTTCGTTGTTAATTCAGGCAGCTAAATCTGGCAAAGTGTTGGACTTGCAAGACGTGCTTAGGCGTTTCACCTTTGATACAATTTGCAAGGTGTCCCTTGGTACTGACCCGCACTGTTTGGATGATTTTTATAGAAGGAAATAAGGCATCCGAGGATTGGGTAAGAGGAAGGGCCATAGATTGGAGTGAATTTTCAAAATTTGAGATGAAGTTTTAGGGAATGGGTAAGAAACCCTAAAATGAAGAAAATAAAGAGAGAAAGAAACATGTTTCTAGCAAAGTGGGTGTTAGAGTGAATGAGTTTTGTAAGATTGAGGGATAAGTGGTTCTATTTATATTTGTGGAAATTTCCACACTTAACTTCTCAACATTACATACACACACAAGGTAAATCTCCGTCCCTTCGTCTTCTCAATCTTGATACAAAATTTATATGCACCAATGTGACTCATAATTTTCTTTAAAGGCTCCGTTAAATAACTCGTCATTGTCTGAGAATAGCTCGAAGCTTCATGCTCTCCGACTAGTTAGTTTTCGACTTTTCTCAACACCATTTAGATTTCACTAAATCAGGGTACTCCCCAGTTGATTTTGGGAAAATTACTTGACAGAGCAAACATATGCCTGTTTACCCGAAATAGTGAGAGATTTACAAGTTGTAATACATAATGAGAGTTTGAGTTTTATCAGTTTCGCTCTGTATCTGTTCGCTCTGATACAGGTGAACAAATACAATAGACAGTGAATTGATACACTGATACAAAGCGAATTGATACAATGTATCACGAGTTTTTTTAAAGTAAATTATTGCTACATGTGGTAATTAGCTAAAATATCGCTATGATTGGTAATTAAGGCTCAAAGTTCCGCTATTTGTGAAATTTCGTCATGATTTTATCATATGAAACTTGGATAATTCTTGTCTCATTTTATCTACTTGATTGTGGCAGGACAAAGAAGCAGGTGATGATCCAGATATAAAAGAGATCTTGAATGCTTGTTGTGTACAAGGCTAATTAATCAAGACAGTCTATATATTATGTGTATATACAGATTACAGACACATTATCTAAGTGTATCATTGTATATGTGTATCATAATTAAACAGAAAAAGAAAATCAAGATGCATCCCTTGTTCTATTACATTGGTTAGATTTTTCACACAGGAGGAGTTAATTGTTTGAGGCATAGTCAGAGTTAGAATTTTAATTTTAAAACTTCTATTTTGGGAAGATGACTTTAAGCATTGATAATTGATTTCTAAATGTAATTTGTGTACATATTTAATGAACTTTCTAAATTAAACTGTTTAATGAACTTTCTAGTTACACAATATATTTATTTTTAAAAGTATATAATACCATTTGTATTTATGTCACTATAATGAAGTGAATTGATAAGAAGCAACTCTTTCTTTTAAATAAAGAATAACACGCTATGTTTGTTAGAGTGAATTGGATGATCGGGTTGAGAGCCGCCCCTATTTTTTTTTTTGCATCACTTGATATGACAAGCAAACCTGAAAGATGGAGTGAATGACTTGATCAATGAATATTTGATTCTTTCTTCAATGTAGAATGAATTCACACCTAAAGTAGAGAAAGAGATGTCTTGTCAGAGGACCAAGCCTCTTTTCTTAAGAATCTTGATCAATGAATATTATTAGTAACTCGATTTTTACATTTTTCTAAAGAATCTTGATGGTTTTTAAAGTAACATGTGATTGATGTGCACTAATTCAAAATTTGGAAAAAATTCAAAAAAAATAGAATATTGCAAAATAGAAGGAAAAAAATAGTAGAAATTTTAAAAGCTCGATGAAGCAGAGTAAAAGTAGGAAGAACCTAAACACAACATGACAATATATGTTAAATTTAACGAATTAAAATTAATATTTTCCTCCCATCTTGCTCGATTTTTCATCTTGTAATTTTTATATTCTCACTTCTTTATACTTCGAACTCCCTCAACAAAAATCTTGAATCCGCCACTTGGGACTGTGTTGGCTTTTAGTATGATTCTGATGCGATTACTTGGTCAAGATGGCTGGAAGATAGCTGCCGCTCTTATGGAAGACACATGTCCGCTTTCGAGTGAGTTACCATTGGAATATATTAAATGTTGTTGCAAAAGAAAGTATTTTACTCCCTCCGTCCACAATTGTTTGTCAGGGTAAGGTCATGCACACCCCTTAAGGAAAATTTAATACAAGGTGTAATTTAACTAATATAACCCTACTATACCAAGAATACCAAAAATCCACATAACTTTTCAATTGAACTACACTATTATTAAGGGCAGAATTGGAAAAAAGTGACTAATTATTTCTTGATTGTTTAAATTGACAATTAATCTTGGACATCTATTTTTAGTATACCTGCCAAATAATTGTGGACGGAGGGAGTAACTAATACTTACTCTAAATATAGATAGAGACAAAAATGGAAAAAAATTGAATCGTAATTTTCAGAATATCCAATATAGGAATTGACATAATCACATATAGGATATAGGGATATAGGGGTATTTGTGGTTCGGTTTGGATCGATTATTGGTTAAAATCGAAACCAAATCAATTTAGTTGGTTTTTAAAATTTCTAAAATCAAACTAAATCAAACGGAAAAAAACAACTGTCGATTTGGTTATTGTCGGTTTAGTTCTGTTTTTTTTATTTTTTCAGTTTGAAAGTAGTAAATTTTTTGAGGACATACGTATCTCGATAGACACAAACTAGTCATGAACAATCCACAGGAAAACTACTGTTGGTTCAATTAAGCAATACTAGAGTTATTATTCCACGAATAATGCGATTAAATTAAGAAAAAAAGCATGACTATTTATGTGAGATAAGGTAGGTAAAGACTAAAATAATAGATTTTGATGGACTTGGACTACAAATTGTAATAATTAGGCTAAAAATTTTAAGTGTTGAATTTGAGAAAACGATAAAATTAAATACTTAAATCAATCAAGATTTAATAAATTATTTATATTTTATTTATGAATAATATATATATATATGTCAATTATAAAATTTTTACCTAATTTTTCCTTTTAAAAAATAAGAATGTTCCAAAACATATTGGGCCTGGCATTCCAAATCCTTGTGAATATAGGAAAGTCCTGCTTCGTCCCTCCCTGTTATAAAACGCCCTCCAATTCTTTCTATTTGCCCTAGAATCCTCTTCATCTTCTTCCAATCTATTAAGCTATGGCGGACTGGGCAGGATTGCCCCATGACCTCCTTGTTCTGATTGCTAAGCGTGTTAAAGTGGTTGAAGATTACATTGCTTTCGGTTGTGTTTGTAATTCATGGCAAACAGCTTCTACCAAGGACAATTTCGATGTGCTTTCTCCCCAACTTCCTTTGCTAATGCTCCCTGATGATGATGAAAAAACTTATTATCGAGAATTTTACTCTCTTTCCAAAGGTAAAGTCTCACGCAAATTATACCTCCCTGAGGCTAAAGGGCGAGATTGTTTCCCAACTCATCACGTGGGATGGCTTCTCACCCAATCATTAGACGGAGAAGAGGTCAATTTGTTCAATCCTTTCTCCGCTACCAAAATTCATCTTCCTAACCAATTCGCGTTAAGAGCTTTACAGAGTCCTGACGACTTAATTGAAGAACCTGAGTTCTATCGCCACATCAAACTGGCTACGCTATCTGCCAATCCATCTTTTACATCTGATTATGTACTCGTAATTTCATATGACACAGATGTTAATTATTTGGCTTATTGGCTACCTGGAGATATCAATTGGACTCTATTTGACATGGATGAAAGACATGGTGGAGTCTGCAATATGACTTACTACAAGGGCAAATTTTATCTTCTTACTTGGGGAGCTGAAATCTGGGTTGTTGATGTCCAAAGTCGTGATCGACGCGTAGAGTCGCACTTGATTTATCTTAACGATAACAAGGACTTGTTTCGACATTCAATTCAGTACTATCTAGTTGGGGTAAACGATGCACTCTTATTTGTTGCCAAATTTGGTAGAAATCGCTCTAATGATAACAGTGCCGTGGACACTTTTAAATGTGAAGTATATGAATTAGATGAAATGAAGTGTAAATTGAAACGGATTCACAACTTGGGAGATTCAACAATTTTTTTGGGTCTTAATGGAGCAACTTTCATCGACTCCACTAAATTTACAGGAGTGATTAAGCCTAATCACATATATTTTACTGATGATTGGATTGAGCAGAACTTAATGTCGGAATGTGGTGGTGGAAAAGACACAGGAGTTTACAATCTTGAAGATGGAAATATTGAATATTTTTATCCTGAATTACCACTAAGTTGTATTTGCCCGCCAACTTGGGTAATACCATCATTGTGATGCCAACTGGAGCTATTGTGCTATATATGTTCAGTAATTTATTTATTTTTGTTATTTTTGCAATTTATCATAAAGTTAGGTTCTAGTATTTGTTTTCCTTCGTGATTTCAATCAATAAGAACTTTATGTTATTTGTTTTATTGAGTTGAACTTTGTGTCACTTGATCGAATTTATTTTGATTGACTTGGTTGCTTTGATTACAAGTATGAAAGAGAAGTGCATGATCTTGTGAATCACTCGTGGTATAAGTTTGTCGGTTCTTTTCTATTACTGTATTTCTTTATTCTTCCATATCCTTAATAGCAGGTTGGTAATAAATAGTTTCTAAACTTTGTATTTCTCCCATACCAAATCACTTGATCTTCAAAGTTTATTCTTCCGTATACATGTCATATGTTGCGTTCTACTATCAAATCTCGACAACTGAGAGTTTGATTGGAATTATTGGGCACACATTGTCCTCCATGATATGATACGCCAAGTTGGTGAAATTATTGATGATGAATCTAACAAGGGTGGAGGAAGAGAATGGTCATTTTTGCTCCATTTGCCGTTATAATAACATCTTGCTTCTGTCTTCTAATAGTTTTTTTCAAAGAAAAAATTTAAGAAATATGAGTTAATAGTTGTTCAAGCTGACAAAAAGAAAAAAATTATGAAGTATGAGTTAATAGTTGTCCAAAGTTCAGTTACCAATCAAATATACAAGTATACAATAACTATTTCTTTTTGTACAGTTATGTGATATGGTGTTCGTAGCCCACATATGTGGATCACCAAAGTGAGAATTGAGATTAACCAATTTTGTTATTAATGTATACCACATTTAACCAATGTGGAGAATCGTAATAACCAAAGATAAAAGCAATTCAAGAAAAAAAAACATAGGTGAAGTAAAGCAAATCGAAAATGGCTTGTTCAAATATGATAAAATTACTTGCAATTTTCAAAATAAAGACATTTATGAGAAGATGAACATACCATAATAAGGAGATGAAGCTACATTATTGTTGTGTGTCAATTGGAGGTAAAAGATTTGCCAAATTCTTTGAGCATATTGTCCCGTGCAAAATAGGTGCTCAGAGCTTTCCGATCTTGGGGTCATACCTGCACCAATACAATAAGAACAGTCATTAGTTAATGTAATTCCAAATCTGGAATTTTTGTCATTTGTAGGTAGTCTAGAGTGAATAGCTCTCCAAGCTACAAATGACATTTTATAAGGAACATCTTTGTGTTATAGTCTTGAGTTAAACTGAGAAATATTTCTCCTTTGTCTAAGACTTTCCCAAGCAGAGGAAACCATAAAAGCTCCTGATTCAGTGACCATCCAAACAGGGATAGCTTCTTTGTCTTGGTTGATGGTAATAGGACACCTAGCTATAATTTCTTTGATGTAGTCATTTGGCTGAGGTATCAGTATTGTCCAATCCCATACACCTTCCCTGAAAACTTCATTCACATTAACATCTTGATATTCAGTGAAATCCTCCATGAGAAAGTAAAGTGGCCCTTGGGTGGTCCAATTGTCAAACCAAAAGTTAATGTTCTATTTGCCTGTCCTCCACCAAATAAGGTCATCCACAGTGTCTCTCAACTCGCACATAGCCTTCCCTTCCAACTGTGTGATTGGGTAGGACACCAATGGACACAATCGGGATGAACATTTTTATCATGAATTATCACTAAGTTGTATTTGCCCGCCAACTTGGGTCATACCGTCATTATGATCATAATGATGTTGTGCTATATTTTCAGTTAGGGGTGTACAAAATCGAACTGAAAAAAAACCCTTGGTAAATATACATTCGTAAGTAATTGATTTGGTTTGTAAGATGTTCACACTATAATTGTAATCAAAACATCTATCCTTATAAAAATTAGATTTGTTATAGTAAATTTTTAGTCAATCAGCAAATTCAAGATAATATACTTTTAATTTTTTACCAAAACTATTGTGGTAGCAATTGCTAAGTTAATTGGTCTTTCTTCTCCACGATAGAACAAAATACATTGCAAATGAAATTTACAGTACTTCTAGTCTGGAATATATACCAATAGAGTAAGTAGCAGAATAATTTAGAGCAGTCACTTCACATGTTGCCTCTAAAATCTATTTCATTAAAGAAGAAATGTATCGAAATGAATTAGTATTTTTTCTTCGTTCATTTCTACAGTTGTCTCATAGTCGAGAATTGATTCATGTTGTAAAGCTAAAACGTTATTTGAAACAACTAAAAAGAAAAATGACACATTACTTTATGACTTGTGAATCTAGAACATTGATGCGATCAAAAACTTTCAAAATCGGCATGACTACTCTCCATTGCTACTATAAAACATCTTTGTATCCTGCATTAAAGGAATTATTTTAACCCGCCAGAAGTAATTTGTTAAATGATAATGTGCAAATGTTTCATGGTACAATAATCAAATTGATAGCAATAACTTGTGATGGCCAAGTAGGTAAGCTATTGCTACATGTGGTAATTAGCTAAACTATCGCTATGATTGGTAATTAAGGCTCAAAGTTCTGCTATTTTTGAAATTTCGTCATGATTTTATCATATGAAACTTGGACAATTCTTGTTTCATTTTATCTAACTTGATTCTTGCAGGACAAAGAAGCAGGGGATCATCCAGATATAAAGGAAATCTTGAATGCTTGCTGTGTACAAGGCTAATTAATCAAGACAGTCTATATATTAGTATGTGTATATACAGACACATTATCTAAGTGTATATGTGTATCATAATTAAACAGAAAAAGGAAATCAAGATGCTTCCCTTGTTCTATTACATTGGTTAGATTTTTCACACAGGAGGAGTTAATTGTTCGAGGCAGAGCCAGAATTTTAATTTTATAACTTCTAAATTTTAGGAAGACGACTTTAAGCATTGATAATTGAGTTCTAAATGTAATTTGTGTACATATTTAATGAACTTTCTAAATTAAACCGTTTTAAGAAAAGAAGCTACTTGACTTGGCTGAACCGTATCTAGTACACAATATATTTATTTTTTAAAAGTATATAATACCATTTGTATTTTATTTTTAATTGCGTGCAATGTCACTATAATTAAGTAAATTGATAAGAAGCAACCTTTTCTTTTAAATACAAAATAACACGATATGCATGTTTGTTAGAGTGAATTGGATGATCGGGCTGAGAGTTGCCCCTACTTTCTCTGTGTCATTTGATATGATAAGCAAATCTGAAAGATGGAATGAATGACTTGATCAATGAATATTTGATTCTTTCTTCAATGTAGAATGGATTCACACCTAAAGTAGAGAAAGAGATGTCATTGTCAGAGGACCAATCCACTCGGACAAAGCCAGATTAGTGGAATGCAACTTCTTGACTAACGAGCTTCAATATGAGTTTCAAGAAAAGTATACCAAGCACACTAACCTAACTTGATGAAGGTGACTGCCATCACCTTGCGGGAAAAAGGACAAATCGAGCCCCAGTGGTCCTTATCTTATCACGCCACACATGGAGATATCTCAAATAGGTAAATTGGTCTATAAAGATGGGGAAAAACATCTATCGTTTAAGTTTGTCATCACATCCTGGGAGTGAGGAATGAGTAACTTTTATATAATATGGTGATTAGTATATGCATTATTTTTTCTAATACATTCAATCAAACGACCCCTTAAATATTTGCGTATACACACGCACCATACTGTCTTAATGATTTGTCGGGTTATGTCTGTCTTCATTTATGTTATTTCTTTCCTTATACAATTTTGGACTATTTATTCTTAGATTGAGGGAGTATGGGAAACAACCTCTCTACATGGTAATATTTGTGTATACTCTATCCTTCTCATATCCTATTTTGTGGAATTACACTGAATATATTGTTGTTGTTGTCCCAATATAAAAAAGGATAGTTCGATGCACGATAATATTTGATAAATTTAAATGACCTAAATTATTCGAGAATATATTTAAGAGACTATTTTGAATCTATACCGAACATTAGGGACCATTTTTGCCATTTTCTCTACTTTAACCAATGCCCTAAGCACTACAGTATCTATCCTCACGTTTATTGTCATTTCCCGCTTCACCTAATCCCCGTCGCCGATGGCCGACAAGAAGAAACGCCGGCGAGCAGCTCACGACTCCGATTCCGACTCCGAAAGCCGGCCTTTCCAATCCAAGCTCAAACCCGACTCCGTCATCCTCCAAACCCTAAAAGCACTCAAATCCTCCTGTTCCACCACTTCCAAAACCCTATCCCTCTCCGACGTCGGCCTCTCCTCCACCTGCCGTGAAGTCGCCGACCTCCCAATCGATGAGGTACAGTCCGAAATTGAATCGTTAGCGTTTACTATAGCTAAATCCATACTCTCCGGTGAAGGTTTCTCTTTCTCCGTCCCTTCCCGCTCCGCCGCTAACCAACTCTATGTCTCCGAGCTCGACCGCATTGTTCTCAAAGACAAATCATCGGCTCGCAACTTCGGCAATGTGTCTACTGTTCGTAAAGCAACAATTACTCTTAGAATCCTTCAGCTTGTTCATCAGCTTTGCACCAGTAACATTCATGTCACAAAGCGTGATCTTTTCTATACCGACGTTAAGCTGTTTCAGGATCAGACGCAATCTGATGCTGTATTAGATGATGTTTCTTGTATAGTTGGATGTACTAGGTCTAGTCTGAATGTGGTTGCAGCTGAGAAAGGAGTTGTAGTTGGCAGGTTGATTTTTAGTGATAATGGTGATATGATTGATTGTACGAAAATGGGAATGGGAGGGAAAGCTATACCTCCGAATATCGATAGAGTTGGTGATATGCAGAGTGATGCATTGTACATATTGTTAGTCGAAAAGGATGCTGCGTTTATGAGATTGTCTGAAGATCGGTTTTATAATAGATTTCCTTGTATAATTGTGACTGCAAAGGGTCAACCGGATGTGGCTACTAGGTTGTTTCTGAGGAAGATGAAGATGGAGTTGAATTTGCCGGTGCTTGCATTGGTGGATAGTGATCCTTATGGGTTGAAGATTTTGTCAGTGTATGGGTGTGGATCAAAGAATATGTCGTATGATAGTGCGAATCTGACTACACCGGATATCAAGTGGTTGGGTATTAGGCCAAGTGATTTGGACAAGTATAAGATACCAGAGCAATGTAGGTTGCCAATGACTGAACAGGATATTAAGACGGGGAAAGATTTGTTGGAGGAGGATTTTGTGAAGAAGAATCCGGCGTGGGTTGAGGAATTGAATTTGATGGTGAAGACTAAGCAAAAGGCTGAGATTCAGGCGTTGAGTTCGTTTGGGTTTCAGTATCTGTCTGAAGTATATTTGCCATTGAAGCTGCAAGAACAAGATTGGCTATGAGAATTCAAATCTTGTTGTTGAACTACTTCAATCTTCTTGTGTTAATTTATGCCTAAAGTTAGACGTGTATCGTTTTCTGTATTTTGATGGGAGTTCATTGTTGTGTTAATTCACATTTATAGTTAAGACGTACTTTGGTTTTCTATGCTTTTGAGTGGATTGGTTTGGTTGCACTTTTTTGAGTCGACCTCTCTATCCCACAAAGGTAGGGATAACTTTTGAGTGTATCCCATCTTTCTAGACCCCACTTGTGACTTGTGGAATTACACTGAATATGTTGTTACAGGATGCTTTCCAGAAACAACCTCTCTACCCCACAAAGGTAGGGGCAAGATTCACACATATCTTTCTCACACTGCACTTGTGGAATTACACAGGGTTATGTTGTTGTGATAGGATGCTCTCTTTGATCCATGGTGATGCAGCTTTAACTCTAATAGATGCAAAAATGATGCAACAATAATGGAATGTTAAGAAACAGCTACATATATTGTGCCAGAATAAGAACACATCATTTTTCTTTTGTTACTTTTGTTTACATTTGATGGTAAAATGTGGAGTTTTCAGCGTGTGGTATCGTCGAGTATACAATGCTATTCAGCTGCTAAAGAATAAGGATGAAAGAACTCTACAAAAAAAAAAGAGTTCATACAAATCTATACATAACATGTTTCGTATATCATTGCACTACAGAAGCATCTAACCTTCTTGTTAGCCAGGATTGCAGTGATTCCTTAGTTATCCTCATTTTTTGCAAAACCACTGGTTTCCTAGTTGGAGAGTGCGCGTTTGCTCGTAAAATAACTTTTTCTGTATTTTCTACCATGTTTGAATGCTTGTCTGGATGGTTTATCCCATCCTGGTTTCTGTCATTTCCAATTCTAGATGCTGCTGAAATTACCTCAAGTCCCAAATCATGTTGCAAAAGCTTTATTATTGCTTCCTTAACTACACTTTCTTGTCTGACAGCACGCATACCTACTTCTTGGACACCTAGAAAGATTTGCACGTCTTCTTTAATTGAATCTCCTGCAACGATAACCACAATGTTTTCAAATTGATTGTAATGTTATGTATGTTTGTACTATATGGATCGTTGATCACGATCACTAGTATGTTGAAATGCACCATTTGACCAATCAAATCGTAGTAAAAGGCTTATGTCATCAACGAGCTTATAGTATAGTCCTTGGTATAATTTATTCTGAAAGAACTGAAGTTAGAAAGGTCAAAATTTTTTAAGTTCATCCATTTTCTCACCTGCAGTGTACTTCTCTCTGATCATTCTCAAAACCGCAAGAACCACAATCCGAGCTTCAACCTGTCAATGTGCAAAAAATTGATGGGATAAATCAAGACTTATGTTTAACCATGAAAGTTCTCCAGAAAGATCAGATGGTTGTGTAAGAGAACGATATTTGGAGGGCAAAATGATATAAATCACAACAGTAAACACAGAGACATGCGTTTAATTTACTTCTCCAAAAATATTTTATGTGAATCTCTAGCTAGATATCATCTTTACCTTACTAAGCCCCCGGAGATTAATGGATATGCTATTTGCACTGTCCTTCTGCAAGTGTTCTGCAACTTTGTCGAGAATCATACTTTCAGGCCCTAAATCAGTTCTATTACGAGTGCTGAAGTTGTATTTCCTCTGATTGCCATTCTGGATTACGCCTTCACACCATTGCTCAATTAATTGCTTGAGATAGTAATCATTGGGTTTATACCTGCAATGTTTATGAAGAGCAAATTGAGATTCAATAGCTACAGAGAGTATCATTAAGTGGATTCTTTTCTTAGACCAATGGTAATGCTGGTGGTACAAAATGATACCCAAAACACACACAAAATAAATTTAAAAAATAGAGGAGTTTCATCTGCAACTGGAAATAGGCGTGCCTCCTCAGTGAAACGTGTACATGCTCTGCATATAGTTTAGCAAATAAATTAACAAATTAGAAAATCTACTTACTGATATAAATTGGGACTTCCTTGGTGTCTTAAAACAAAATAATGAGTAAACTCAGACGTCCCAACAGGGAAATTGTTGTAAGTATTCAGTCGTCCAGTTATCTAAGGCTTTAGACGACAAAAATGAAGGTTATGGAGTTCTTGTGTTTTTAAGTCAGTCATTTCCATTTGTTACATCATATGTCTTCAATGATGTTTTGTGTTGCCTAGATTGATAAATCAATTGAAATCGTTTATTGAACTAGTAAACAGTGTAAAGTGATGGATCAAAGAAAACCCTGGTGCACTCATTAGTGTTCTTTTATGATTCCATCTCCAGAGAGATTGATGCATTTACATTTTACACCACGACTAGCTCTCTATGAGATGGTGGGAGTCTATGTAAAGATGAGTTTATCTAATAACTATTGACGTTATTGACATATTCAAGAGTTCAAGAGCGATATCAGATCTGGTTTGTCAACCCGATCCACGTATGTAATGGAATAGAGTACCTTGTTTCTTCATATCGGGAGCAAATATAAGAAGAGGAGCATTATGCCTAAAAGATTTCTAGTTACATACCCTGCTTTCCGCATATCTTGATATATAGCTAAGCATTGTTGTACTTCCTGCAAAGATCCATATCGGCTACGAGCTCTAAGAAGTGTATTATATGTGACCTACAAAATGTTATAGAGGTTATAAAGCTGATCCAAGTGACATGTAAGCACCTACGGACCAAATCGCACTTATTCTATTAAAAATGTCATTTCGACGCAAAGGGTGTGAATACAAAAAATATTCAAATAATTTATGTGGAAATTTTATTGATGACATTTTAAGTGCAAGCTAGACTAATTAACTCACCATATTTGGTTTTATCTGATATCTCTTCATTGCTGCAAACAATGAAAATGCACTCTTGAAATCTTTGTTTTCCACGCAAACCTGTAAAGTGAAGAGGAATAAACAACATATGAATCAACCATATTTGACTATGCATCATCTAAAGTGTTCACGAATTAATATGCCAATAAAAAGGAAGAAATCTTAGAACCTTGATAATTGTTGTATAGGTTACCACATCAGGTTGAATACCAGCCTCTCGCATGGCTCTCAAAATCTGCATTTCCGTGAAATAGTTATAATTCAGATTGCAAGAAAAACCTTTTCCTATGACAAACTGCATTTTTCATACCAAGTTTTTATGAGACCACACATTTTCTGTCTTTTCTTTATAAGTTGTGCACATAACAAAAACTCTAAAAAAAAAATGAGGAAAGAAGTATTGCGCTTTGAGCATGACCATTCTGTAAAGTCTTTTCACAGATCATCTTCATTATTTACATATTTTTTTTATTTTTTTTTCAATAACTGAGAAATCCCTGGGGTCAGTGGTGCAAAATAGTCATTTGTAAATGAACATCAAGTAATCCTCTTACTGCAGTATTAATAGTTTATACAGTAGAACTTGTTTTGTTTTTTAATGTAATGTGTATGTTTATCTCAAATTAAGTAGACTACATTACCTGCAGAGCACCCTCTATATTTCCTGAGCCTCCACAGATGTCAATCAAAATAGTCCAGGTTATATGGTTAGGAGAAAGACCTACTTCCTTCATCTCTTCCATCAAAGCTTTCGCTCGGTAGTAATCACTCCCACAGGCCTTTATCAGAATATTATAGGTAGAAGTAGTAGGTCTAAATGGAACCCTCGTAGAGAAATGTCTGTGAGAGGAAGCAGAAGTGAGGGTGGGTATACTAGCAGAAACCACAAGTGTAGGGGAGAGATCAATAGTATTGTCCGTCTTGCCACCAAAATCTTCACAATTGTCCTTCTGCAGTGCATTTTCCTTCCAGGAACGGAATAGCCGAAAGGCCCTATCATATTGGCAGGCTTCAACACACGCATGAAGAAGAATGTTGTAACATTGTGAATTAGGTTCACAACCAGCCTGAAGCATCTCTTCAAATAACTGAATAGCTTGGTCTACCAGGCCTGCATTGGCACAGGCACTGATCAATGAAGACCAAGTGACAATGTTGGGAGTGACACCAGCCGATAGCATATCTTTTTTTATTTCAAGTGCCATCTGCCACATTTTTGCATCTGCAAATACCTATATAATCAAGACGGGACATGAATATGTACTTTTTTGGGGGGAAAAGCCAAGAAGTACCGTTAATTAACACCAAGTCGGTGTCAAAAAAATGTGCAAGATGTGTGTGGCACTGCTTAAATCATACATTGCTTTCCACCAAGTTTGACCAACATCAATACGACATGATACTTTCTCCTCACACCAAAAATACAATTGATATTAAAAATATCTTAGTGTTTTCTACATCATATTCACTATGTAATGATGTCGGATATAGAGGATGTGACTATGTAATCACAAAGTTGACATGACAGCTTTACCTGGATGTGAGAAATAATTCGAAGATAGTTAAACCAGTAAATGTGTTCTCTAATTTCCGTATTCATGTACAAAAAATATATTTTCTTTTACGATTATTCAAAATAAGCCCTTTACCTCTAATACAATATAGTAAAGTGTGATATTCAGTCAGAGATGCCCTATGACATATCAAGTTTTAGATTGCAGAAAGAATAAATTGAGACTTCACAGCTTTTTGTCGTAGTTGTGGGAGACATCATGCATAAATTCCATCACAAGTTTTTAGGTGGTTAACATGGTTCTTGCTAAACCTGAAGACCCAAGTTATACCTTAATTAAAGTGCTGTACGTGAAGACATCCAATTTCAATGCTCCTGCCATTTCTAAATGCTTTAGCTCCCCATAAATTTCTTTGGCCAGATCAACTCTTGTAGCAAGACAACATGACTTCAGAAGGATATTGTAAGATGTCAAGTCAGCTGGAACACCTAGTTTCTGAATTAAAAGAAACGAAGTGAACAAAAACGCTCATCAGCCGTATTTTCGGGCTAACAAGATTACAATTATACATAAATGGTGAAAAAGAAACAAGATCCAATGCCCAACTACAAATCACAAAAGAGAGCTGAAATGGGAAAATAAATAATTGGAAGACTACATTTAGATTTCTTTAGTACAAGCCAAGCTTCACTAATGTAGATGCACTAAGAAACAAATTGAAGATTAAAACAAGATTCACACTGTGCCAGCAGAAAACTGACTTTAGATCATACATGGGATTTTGTTTGGGATGAAAAGGGAAAGGAATTGGAGGATAAAATGGGTTATTCTCCTTATTAGGTTAGAAACAAAAGAGTGCTATGCGGCAGTCCATCTCAGCTTTCCAAACCCTATGGAATTTAATGGAAAGGAGAAGCAAGACAGACTTCCTTTTTGGTTGTGCGAACAGCTAGAGCACAACTGGATGTTAATGATGGAAACTTCACCAAATGAAAGAACAACAAAAACTTCCCCTAATGGAACTAAACCAGAGGTAAAGACTAAAAAGCATCCATTCCTCACCTCCTGTTTTTTTCTGTGCGCGAGTGACACTTGTCAATGTTGTGCATGTGTGCTTTGTGGTGTGGAAGGAAGAGGGTAAGAAAAAGCTTACTTGCATTTGCTTGTATATGTCCAAGGTGTAACTCAAGTCACATGCATTTACATTCATGAGGCTGTTGAAGACATAAATGTTTGGTGTAAACTTGCTAGCTATTAACCCCTGCACTGAAATTTAACGTTATAGACACATAGACCAAGAATAAAGCCAAAATACAACCAAAAAAAGGTTAAGATCATTCTACTTGTTCTTTTATAAGTTTGTTGCACAATGACCTCCACCTATTCTGTAAGATATTGTCAAAGAGGAGAGCTGCTTGTTTATCTAATTAGGTGTTCAGTAATCTGTAATCCAGCATATGGGCAAGCCAATTTTTTTGTATGGTATCACAGGTAGCAGTGAGACTCAGACTTGAAAGTTGAGACCACTATCCAGTTGGACTCTGTTCTGAATTGCATGCTCCAACTTTTTTTTTGAAACTGGTAACATTAATTACATGCTCCAACTTCTATAGAAGCTTAACTTATTAAAGAAGGGAGAACTAGTTAGTTAGTTATTCAACAAATTCAAAAAGCAAACACAAATAAGGAATAAGAACAAAAGTGTTTCATTCTGTAATTAAACCAAAAATGAAGTCAACGATATTGTGACTTCTCTTACTGTGTTGGATGCGCCATTCCTATGCCACCAGACAACTATATTATTTTACAACTCCCTTCTAACTCATGAAAAGAAACTGATTCCGCAAAACAGACTTTCCAACAAGATCTTTGGGAAATGACAAGGTTTTCTTTCTCATAGAATTGGATCGCATGTAATCTTCCTTCTTCTTTATTATAATAAGTAAAGTGTAATTTATTGATTGCAAGCATTACATCTTGAATCACCTTAACAGGAAATCTGATTTATTTTGCAGATGCAAGTTTATCTAAGATACGTAAGGTGTGCAATATACCTCATATATGGACCTGGACTTCAAGTAGTCACCACAAAGACCACAAACATCTATTGTTGTGCGGTAAATATACAAATTCGGGGTGTCCTGGTTCTGCTTGGATGCTTCAAAGACAGTTAGAGCAGACGCCAAATCGCCTTTCTTCCCAAATTCAAGAATTATGGTACAGAACATAATGTCCACATGTGGAAAGATATGTGCATACCTACAGAGAGGCATGATTGAACTTGCACAGTAAGGACATGGCAGGTAATCACGGTTTTCTCTATGATAGCAGTATTTTAAAAGCATTTCGCAGTCTGTTACAAAACCAAGAGAATCGAATTTCCAAGCACAAAAGAAAACAAACCACAAATTGGATAATAAATGAAGGAAATTGACAAGTAGATGGAGCAAACAAAGTTCAAGACCAGGGCGAGAAAGTAAACCAACAAACTAAACATAACATATCTCGAGCTTCTAGTGAAGTGAACAGCTGTGGTCAAAAATATCGTTCTTATTGTGGACTTTTGTTGCATATCTGCTGCAGCTGCTCAATTCAGTCACAAGCAACAAAGAGTAGATGAAAAGAATTTCTTACCCATTCTTTGATTATTGAAAGAAAAAGGAGATTCTAACCCATTTCAAGAAATACTAAGAAAGAGGGCCCATAAATAGGACTAACAACTATCTCAGTTTTATTGACACGTTACTTATGTTCAACTGAAGAGGCATTAGCCACCCACCGAAACGAATGAACAGAACAGAACAGAAAAAAGTCACTAGCCTAACTCCTTTCCTGGAACTTGTCTCAAAGATGGTATATGAAATGAATATCAATCACTTATGCCTCATCCAAATACCTAGGGCATCTACATGAATCCTTTGTGTCCATACTATTCTATTCAGGTCAATGTCATCTTTTGATCAGTCTATTCAGGTCATTAGGTCAATTTCATTACAACACTAAAAAGTTATCATTTAAGGCAAATTAGGAGTTCTCTTAAACTAGAGATTCATCAAACACAGTCATACAGTTTTCCGATTAAAAAAGACTCAAGAAAAGAACAAGTAGACCTTAGTTCCACCAAGTTGTTGTCACCAAAAGAGATGACCTCGAGAACCAACAAGCTCCTTCTAAATAATGCCAATATATGAAGCGGTAGAAAAAGGTCCTAGTTATCCTATTTCCTTATTTACATGTTGGAAAAAATAAAAAGAATCTTAGAACCAGAGTCTGGAGCATATCTACTACGGATATCCAAGTACATGTGCATTTTGGTTGATCCCAATCCTTCCCATAAGTACTTGTATGTACTTCAAAGTTTATTAAACTAGGTGTATCGCGTCAAATAGTGTGCATCTCGACTAGTCACGAAGTACCTACTACCTACCACCAATATAGTTACCAAATAACTATGTCCACCAAGAGTCCAAGACTACTAAATGGGAAAAATCACGCTGCATTTTTACTTTCTGTTGGGATCTGAGCCCTGCCTCCTAGGACCTTTGCCACTTTATTAACACTATGCTACACCTTTGAGTGCACGTATCTCTATGTTTTAATGTCCATAGACATATGAAGTATCTTTACTCATGCCACCTTTTAGTCAAACATATTCTAGATGAGCGATGTCTCAATATGACTACAAATGAATATATCTTCCTCACAAGAAATAGTGAGAAGACTAACAAATCTGTACTTCCAATAATCATTCGTAAATGCCAAAAACGAAATTTCACACAAATTTAAAACTCTTTTAATGGAGTCACCGTTAGAATACATATCTGAAAAAACTGCACTATTTGAGAGAACAAACAAAATTTAATTGAAAGATTGAACCAAAACCCAACTCTAAGAGGTCTATGTGAAGATCGGAAAGTTAACTAAGAATACCACTGATAGAGCGTGCAAACACACACAAAAAAAATAGTTATTCCAAAAAGATAATATGAAAATGCATATGTTACATGCTTAGGCACATGGATTTTGTTAAAAGAACTTAAGAGGTGTTCACCACAGAAAAGACAAAGGAAAACTCTTAATGATACTACTTGTTTCATACTCATGAAAAACGGTTATTTATTTACAACTAATTTATGAAAAACAAAGTAGCATTTTTTGTGCGAAGTCATCTCTAATGGAGCATGGATAACATGTCAAGAACAGTTCAAATTCAAGCCAAGTTGGAAAAAACAATTACCTTACTGCTGCATTTGGCTTTCTTTGGCTGACACAAAGTCTTAGAATTTCAGACGGCTTCACTAAATCCTTAATTGGCATACCACACCCTGAAGCAGTAGCATATGTAAACCATATCAAATGCTGTATTTATCAACTATTTCAAGAGCCCAACAACAACATACCCAGTGTAATACCACGCAGACCTTACCCCTACCTCAAGAAAGAGAGGTTGTTTCCAATACACCCTTGGCTTAAATAAAGTATTTCCAAACAATTTGAAAAGGGGATACAAAAATGAGGGCAATAACAACAACAAAATAAAGCAAAATGGGGAAAATAATTTGGCTATAAGCAATTCAAGAAAACCTACAAATATTAAGCATTTGCACCTTTTAAGATATACTAGAATGTGGGTAACAAAGAGTAGAACTTGAGATACAAACTCAAACACTAGTCATTTCAGCCCTTAATTTAGATTAACAAATTAATTAACACTTGGAAACATAATATATCTTGTATGTATCCATCCATTCAAAAAGACCTTAATTAGTAATTGTAGCGCAACGAAGAGCACCAAAAACAAGACAAAGTTAATACCTTTAAGTGTTTCCATCAAGCTCACAACTTCCTCGATTTCACCACATCCCATAGTCCGTCTACACTCACGCGAAAGGGCATTTAGCGCATCTTTATCAAGAAGCTTCGACGGATCAATTCCAAGCTGCTGAGCACCATTCAGAAGCTCAACAACGCTCCCTACCTTCCTTTCCTCAAGCAATCGAACAATCCCACCGGAAACAAGCTTCACATTCAGCAACGCCGTAAATTCCTCCGCATTCACTCCGGAAACCACAACACTCTCCGCGATCATCAACGAATCATCGAACCTCCCGTCCTGCGCAAGCTTGGACGCCAACTCAGCATAGTATTTGAGACCGTTACAGCTACCTGCACACAAGCAGAGCCAAAATTTGAAGTTTATGAGTTCGGAATTCAGTTACGTTAAAGTTAGTACACATGATTTGGACCAAAGCTACTTACCTGAAGCGGAATCCCATCGCAATGTAGATAGGAGCGGAGATTGAGGAGTAGTGATGGATGAAGTAAAGTGAGACGGAGAATGAGTGGGGTTTCGTTTGGGCTTGGCGGTGGTGCGGCGGTAATGGCGGTGGTGCGGCGGCGGAGTAGGGGAGGAGTTGGGCGGGAGAGTAATGGAAGAAGACGGAAGTATCACCAGAGCTTCTCTCATTACTTCTTAGCCAACCGTTTTTTGTTTTTATTTTTATTTTTCTGTTGAATGAATGTGAAGTCCATTTGTAAGATGATTTTTTTTTTCTTTTTTTGGTGTAAATTGAAGTAAATATTCTTGGGTATAGTGGGATTGAATTTGAAAGGCTGAGGAGTTTGCACATTGTTGTATACTTGTTTGGTGAGGAAAATATTATATTTAAATTAAATGAAAATCTCTCTAAGGAAGTGATTGGATTCCATATATAAGTTATTATTATAGGTGGTTTTGTAAAGTATATTAGAAAGTACGTGTTAATAGTATTGATTAGAGGTTTCAAATTGATGGGTTGAGTTAAAATTAGAAATATTAAAATGGGTTGAAATATAATTTGGGCTCAAATGGGTTTAAAAGCCGGTTGGGTCTTGATCCGCCCAATTTGATCCGCTTAATCTCAATAATTTTAATATATTGTTATTTAAGTTTTATAACCACAATTTGAATTTCAACTCAATTTTTTTTTAAAAAAGAAGAAGTTACAATGGATAGATAAATCATAAAAGATATAAAATAGATAGTAATTCAAACCTTCAATATAGTAACATACATTACATCAATGAAATAAAGAGTCTTAAAACGAGTTGAAATTGGAGATTATATTGGGCTCAATTGAGGATTCTCTTAAAATGGGTTGAGATTGAACCCAATTCAAATTATCTTGAGCCCAACTCTTAAAATTATGAGCGGGTTACCTATAGTTGAGCTCATTTTTTACGCCCCTAGTATTGATATTAGTAATGATCGATCAGTTATGTTGAGATTAGTTATTGTTCACTATTTGATTTGGTGTATTAAAAACAGATATGTATTTAATTTTGATTATTCATTGTTTGGTTTGATGTATTAAAAGTCGTTCTATTTTTTAAGTATGGTTATTATTGTTTGATTTGGTGTGTTAAGGCGGTTTTGTGATTATTCGTTGTTTGATTTAGTGTATCAACGATAGGTCTGTCTTTAATCATGATTATCATTGTTTGATTCGGTGTATCAAGAACGATTATGTCTTTAACCATGGTTATTTATTGATTGATTTGGTGTATTAAGAATGATTATGTCGTTAACCATTATTATCTGTTATTTGACTTGGTGTATTAACGAAAGTTCTGTCTTTAACCATGATTATTCATTTTTTGATTTGTTGTTTTAAATAGGGGTGTACAAATCGAACCATAAAGTCAAACCGAACCGATGAACCAAGTCAAACCGAGAAAAAAAACCATCTTATGGTTTGGTTTGATTGGTTTGGCGTTGAAAAAAAAAAACCGACCACTCTTGATTTGGTTTGGTATTAATAAAAAAAAAGTCAAACCGAATCCAACCCAAACCGACATAATACATATATAATTTTAACTTTTTATACATAAAAATATTTATATAATCTATTTTATAAATATTTTAAATTTAGTTTTATTAATTTTCAATATGTACAAATTAGGTATATATTCAGATTTGGGCTTATAACTTGTAATTGGTGAAATGATCCAAGCCAATATAAACCTAAAAGTTAAAACCCTAGAAACTAGTCATATTCTCATTTCTCACTTTCCACTTTGCAATCTTTCCACTTTCCATAGAGCTGCTCAATCTTCATCTGCTCATCTATAGATAGTCAGGTATGTTTTTCGTTTTCTTTTTCTTGCAAATGTAAATTTATCAATGAAGTTCGTCACTTACTTTTTCTTGCAAATAAGTAACTTTATTTTGAATCGTTGTTGGCTACTGCTACAAGTCTTAATTTTTTGTGTTTCACTTCCTTAGATGGAGAATACGGCTGAAACTGATGTAGAAATGATTAGCGACAGTCCTCTGGTTGTATCAATACCTCAAAAGAAAGGTAAAAGCTCTCCTCATCTCCGCACTCCTCCTAAAAAGCAAAAAAGAACAACCCCAATAGATTCCATTCCTACAGATGGTAATACTGGGAGAGAAACGTCACAAATTTGGGATCACTTTGCTAAATTTATTGCTAAAGGAGGTAAACGAAGAGTAAAATGTAACTATTGTGTAAAACACTTTGCTGCTGAGACAAAAACAAATGGAACCTCTGTATTGTGGTTACATTTAAATGACAAATGTCTCAAATCTCCCTTTAGATTTGTTGATAGAAGGCAAATAACTTTGAAATCTGTACCAATCAAAGTAGGGGGACAAGAAAATGGAACAAGTTCTATAGAAAAGGTTGTGTACAATGTGGAGGATATCAGGAGGGCCATCGCTGAATTTGTCATTATTGATGAACAACCATTTAAAGTTGTTGAAGGGGAAGGTTTTAAAAAATTGATGGCCAAAGCTTTGCCTAATTTTGAATTACCTTCACGGGTAACTGTGGCTAGACATTGTTTGAAGATCTATCAAGAAGAGAAAGAGAAGCTTAAAAAACTTGTCAAGAATCAACACATATGTATTACTAGTGATACATGGACATCACTTCAAAATTTGACTTATATGGTCGTGACTGCTCATTGGATTGATGATGAATGGAACTTACAAAAAAAGATTCTTAATTTTTTCCAAACTCCGGATCACAAGGGTGAGACTATAGCTAAAGGTATTGAAACATGTTTGTTGGATTGGGAAATTGAAAACTTGTTTACAGTGACTCTGGATAATGCATCTGCCAATGATGCTGCCATTAAGCATTTGAAGGCATGTATTGATGATTGGAAAGGGGTCATATTGAGAAATGAGTTTTTACATGTTAGATGTAATGCTCATATTTTGAACATAATTGTAAAATAAGGTTTAGATGAACAAATTGAACCAATTTCTCGCATAAGGAATGCAGTGAAATATGTCAAGTCTTCTGCTTCTAGGTTTGCCTCTTTCAAGTCATATGTTGAGAAGACTAAGCTAGACACTCATGGTCTCTTAAGTCTTGATGTTGAAACTAGGTGGAATTCTACATATACGATGTTAGAAACTGCTGTAAATTTTGAAAAGGCCTTTGCAATAATGTACGTGGATGATCATAACTATCGAAAGTATTGTCTTCAAAGTGAATTGAAAGGACATCCAACTACAAATGATTGGCAGCTTGTGAAAGGTTTTATAAAGTTTCTTAAAATCTTCTATCAGTCTACTTTAAAATTTTTAGGGAGCTTATATGTTACTTCTAATATATTCTTCCATGAATTTTTTAATGTTCGAAGTTCTATATTGAAGTATTCTTGTAGTGAAGATCTTATTTTGATAGACATGGCTGGAAGGATGAAGGTTAAGTTTGATAAATATTGGGAGAATATTGAGAAACCTGAGAATTTGAACATGTTGTTGTTCATTGCTATTGTGTTGGATCCTAGGTATAAGATGTGATATGTCAATTTTATTCTTAGCAAAGCATATGGCTTCTTATTGGAAAAATTAAAGGCAGATAATGTGAAAGGTGTCTTGAAACGTTTGTATAATCACTATAATTATTCTTCGATTGAAACTTTTACAAATAACATTGGAGATGACACTAACATGATGGGTGAAGTTGATGATATATTGCATTCTCAATGGGAGAAACATTTAGAAGATGAGGAAAACATTGGAAAAAAATTTGAGCTTGATCAATATTTGATGGATAATGTAGAGAAGCCAAAAGATTTTAATATCTTGACTTAGTGGAAAGCTTCATCGAATAGATATCCAACTATTTCAAAAATGGCAAGGGATGTTCTTTCTATTCCCGTGTCCATTGTTGCATCTGAATCAGCCTTCAGTATAGGTGGTCGCATTTTTGATTCATATCGGAGTTCTTTATCACCAAAGACAGTAGAAGCTCTTATTTGCACTCAACAATGGATACGGTCACCTTCTAAAGAATGGAAGGTTCAAGATTATTTGGAGGAAGTTCAAAAAATTGATGAAGTTGAAAAAGGTAATTTACTAATTTAATTCTTAATTCTCCATCTTTGATATTAATTTTCTACTTTGAAAACAACTTTATGCTAGTTGCTATCTAACAAAGTTGAGTTGACAAATGATTCAATATCTAATTACTCATTTATGTGCTAATAATTCTTTTCCTTACAGAATGTCCAGGTGCTCTTTTGAGTATCGATTAGTTTAATGAAGTAGCTTTTTGCAAATCTTTTGATATATAGGTATTTCCTTTCCCTTTATTGAAATAGCGTTTTACAGTTCTTTATTATCTAACAAAGTTAATTTTACAAGTCTAGTTACTCGTTCACGTGCTGATAATTTTCTTTCTTTCAGAATGTATGTCTAGGTGACGTTTTGAGTATATATTAGTTTGGATGAAGAAAATATGCAGCTAGATCATGGTAGTTGAAGATTATTGGAGTAGTTTTGCAGTTCTTTTGTTGGGTTTTTAAGAGAATATTTTACAAACATAATGTGAAGTGCTGTGTTTTTAATTTTCAATGTTAAATAGACTTATTTTTTATAAGATATTTTCTCCTGTTGATCATGTGAGGATCTTGATAATCAAAATCTGTAGAAATCAAATTGAAATGAAATGGTTATTGAGCAGTTGTCAGGTGGCGTTTCTCATCGTATCTTCTTCTATCTCGATGTGTTGTCTTCTGATGTTATAAAATTCTCATTCTCTGGTTGTTTGCTTTAGTTTTTTGTTAGGTTGATGATGTCTTAGCGTGATGGGTATTGTAACACATATCTGTCAAACAAATATGTAAGCAATTCTTGTAGAATAAATGCAATTTTTGTAGATATGTGAAAGCAAATATGTAATCAAAGAGTTTAAGTAATTATGAAATTATGTAATCAAAGAGTTGATTACATATTTGAGTTGACCTATTTGGTGAGGAAACTGAAGAGGAAAAGAAGGCTGTTGAAGAACGTGTTGCAGCATTGAAGGCTTCAGGGAAGAAGAAAGAATCTGGCAAGTTCTTAGTTCTCATGGATGTCAAGCCATGGGATGATGAGACTGATATGAAAAAGCTTGAAGAAGCAGTTCGTAGTGTTCATATGGAAGGATTGACTTTTGGAGCATCTAAACTTGTTCCTGTTGGAT